GGATTGGGTGTTATGATGGATGGTGATGATGACACAGGAACTGAAGCAATTATCGAGCGAGCTTCGGGCAGAGACGATCCACACGGTGTCGAAGACAGGGGGGCATTTGGGGAGCAGTCTGGGGGTTGTGGAGCTCACCATTGCATTGCATCATGTCTTTAATTCCCCCGCAGACAAAATTCTGTGGGATGTAGGTCATCAGGTGTGTTTTCATTTTCCCTCTCTCTTTTTTTTTTTTTTTTTTTTTTTTTTGTCAGATTTTTATTTTTGTATTTTCAGTTTAAATTTTGTTTTTTGTTGTTCCATTCAACGATCCTTCACACTCCGCCGCACTACCCCCAAGCCTCTCTTTTTGCCGAGGCCGACAAGAACTGTGAACTGTGCGCTCCAAGCTTTTTTTTTTTTTTTTTCCATGCTTTTTTGCTGAAGCAGCAGTGCAGTCCGACCTTTCCCCCCTCTTTTTTTTTTTTTTTTTTTTTTTTAACTCAAATACCATTCGTATTAAAACAAAGAGAACCGAGGCCATTTTGGTCCGGAAGGCATATTTTTACGACTTGGCCTTTGCCTCTGAAAGGTAGTAGTGCTGGTTTAAAAGGTATTTATAAAATAAATATAAAAATATTAAAAATATTAAAAATATTAAAAATCATATTAATTTATTAAAGCACCACTACCTAGGAGCCTCTTGGGCGAGGTCCCATTAGCAGTCGGATAGGAGTGTGGCCGATCCAGTGTGACACTGAGTGGCAGTGGGCTGACAAGTTCATTACGAATTTCTGGTCTGAGAAAACAGGAGGAAGGCAAAAAAAAAGAAAAAAGAAACAGAGACCTCCCACCGGAAATCACGGCAGAGTGCTTCCCAGCCACCAGATCACAAATGATCTGATGATGGTGGTGGTCCCACAACAGTGAACAAAGTAACCGCCACATTTTATGGAATAACCTCGTTTTCTGTCAGCAGTGATGCTGACACCCTCCATATATATATATATATACTCCGTGATTAAAGGAGGGCTCCACCCAATGAGATAATTGCTGCACAACAGCAAGTAAAATAGATAATTGCTGCACAACAGCAAGTAAAATGCTGAAAATCGTCCTCGGGGACATCCGTTAAAATTGGAACGATACAGAGAAGATTAGCATGGCCCCTGCGCTTTCAAGGATGACACGAGTACATCGAGAAATGGTCCAAAATGCTGAAAATCTTCTATTCCGTGGGCTAAGGCGGACCCCAACCTCGTTTGGGGTTGGCCTTGGCCATACCCGCAACCGATTGAAAAGATTCTGGCGGGAAGCTGTCTTTGCACGGGCATGCCCAGAGTTAAGGAGAGGAGGAGGGGAACGAAGATCTCCTTACTTTTTCGGGTAATAAATATACATAAAAAATACTGACCGTGGGATCACGAGTACTGCAGGGCAGGATTTGGGTCACTCAACTGCCCCACAAACTCGTTCTATCCTATCCCGTTGCTAGTGGGACCTCGCCCCTTTTTTTTTCTTTTTTTTTTCTTAAACTCGCCCCTTTTTACCGACGCGGAAAATGACCTTTTATCTTTTTATGTTGGCTGGTCCCGCCAGCCATTCTTGTCCCGCAGTGCCCAACCCCCAAAGAATGTGGTCTCTTTTTTTTTTCTTTTTTTTCCTTTTTTTTTAACGACTCAGAACCTCCAGCACCCACAATGGCCGTGTTTAAAAAAAAAAAGAAAAAAAAAAAAAGAAAAAAGGCCGACTTAGCCTTTGCCTCTGCGAGGTAAAGCTGCAGATGCAGATGCAGATGCAGGTAACTGTAACAGTGCGACTGACCAGATACACAGAAACACACAACCGCATAAACATTAACAGGGTGGAGCTGTGTGGAAGAGCAATCTCTAATCAATCTCTCAAAAAAAAAAGAAAAAAAAAAAGAGTGACACATGAGAAACGGAGAGAGTGCCACAGGCGAAGCTATGGCTTCCGCCCCGCCCTGGCCTTGCCGCCAGATAGAGAGTGAAAGTCCCGAAGAGGGGAGATTTCTTTTTTTTTGTTAGAGGTAAAATGCACTCTTTTCGTTTTATATACAAACCGGGAAACGGCCCGGCAGGCGGCTCCTGGTTATGAGCGAGGCATCACCGGCCAAGCCCATATCGGGAGTCGCTGAATCCCAAAGAAAAGAGAAAGGCAAGAGAAAGGCAAGAAGACAACTATATGTTCCTGGATCCCAAAGAAAAAAGAAAAGCAAGGAGACAGCTGTGTATTCATAACTGAACCTAGACAAAAGTATAAAAGCGAGACTAAGCCTACACCAAGTAGTACTATATATTCCACAGACAACAAGGAAGGGGTTTACAAAAACTTGTAGCAGAAGAAACCATCAGACCGAACTATAAACTAACTATAGACTAACTATTAAAAGGTGGGACAAAACCCACTTGCAGTAAATCTCTAAAACAGTTACTATGAAAGGCAAAAATTCCTTCAGCAGGAGTTGCTGCATATTTTTCAGGTAACAAAAAAGGAGGAAAACTTGAGCTGTGGATGGGCTTCCTGAGGCGCTTGCACTTTAAGCAGGTCAGGGAACCGCTCCCAATGTTGAAGGAAGATTCTCAATGCCTTCGGTGTGTATCCTTTTTTTTGGACTTTGAGAGACCACTCGGTTGAGATGGTCTGTTTTATTACAAATTTAACCTCCGCTCTTATCATTGCCGGAGTCAGGATGTCTTTCTCCCCTGTAGACCGCTGAGTTCCTGAGCGTCCAGAGTGTCCATAGTACTGACCCACGAAGGGTCTCTTCCGGGAAGATCAGCGGCCCATTGACTTGGTGACGTCGTGTGGCTGCCCCCAAAAGGATGAAGTTGTCTGTCCATCTTCCCACTGGGTCCGGTATCGGAACTGATCCTGATCTCCACCATTCCCAAAAAGGCCTTGAAAGGTCACAGTATAGTAGCATGTGCTGAAGGTCTTCGATCCTCGTTCCAGGGCACATACTGCAAAAAGGCGTGGCTTTGGCTGTGCGTCGGGCACACCATGAAGCTGAAGGTACTGCGAGGTGAGCCACGAGCCATAATTGGCTCGCGTGTTTTACCACTGGGAGATCCAGCAGCAGTCTCCAATACCTTGAGAAGCCCTGAGCAAGTCTTGGGAGCATGTCTTGTATCCATCCAGTAGCCATCCATCTTTTTGCCACTGTCCAGTCTAGGTGTTCTTAAAAATTAATTAATTAATTAATCTGGACCATTTATCGATTTATGAGTGTCATCCTTGCGCGGATTCTTCTTCTCAAAAAAAAAAAAAAGAAAAAAAAAAAAAGCTAATTTGCCCTTCTTCTCTGTATCGGTCCATTATTTTTTATTTTTATTTTTATTTTTATTATTTTTTTTGGAGACACATCACACTTTTCATTCTAAATGCGGCCCTGGGAACACACCCCTACATATCAACCCGGTACAAACTTGCTGAGGCCGTTACTCAGCTTGGGCTCCTGGAAACCGGGGGCTAGGTCCCACTTGCACGAATTAAGAGATATTGACCGTAGATAGCACAAATCAACGGCCGAAATCTCCTAATTTGCGCAAGTGGGACCTTGCCCCGGGTCCAGTGTCCCTTAAAGGAATCTCCAAAAAAAAAAAAAAAATACAAGGCACATCGTATTATATCATTACTACTCAGAGAGACGCGGGCATGTTTCTAAATTGAAACACTATTGGCAAAAGAACTATGAACTATAAACTACAGATCTCAAGATTACACGAGGGAATTTGCAAGAGGTTAACCAAACAACCCTAAAATTATTTACATTAAAATATATATATTTATATTAAAAATAATTAAAAACAAACTTACATAAAGGTTCTAAATTCTTAGGTGCACAACAACTCTAAAATTGCATCCAAGTGCGAGCTAAATTCTTAGATCGAGCTATTGAAACCGGGCACATTAATATTCAATTTGTCGATAAAAACGGCCAGAAGATCGGCCACATATAAAGAGTGGAAGGGGATTCAAGGGGATTCAAGGAGAGGACTAGGTGGATAACCGCGACCACAGAACATACGAATGGGAAAAAAATACAGACCAGATTTTCCAGAATGGCACAGGGTCGAGCGTAGAACACTCCCCACACCACTCAAGGCATAGGTGACCCTGTGTCACTATTCCTGCTCGTGGAGAACAGCCACTCTTGGAAAGTGAATCGCAACTGTGTCTCCCGACGCGGTTTTGTTGGGAAATGTTTTACCCATACTTGCAAGCAGACGGACCGGGCGAGAGTCCGGTCCCGTCCGCTTTGCCGCGTGCGGCACCCTCCCCCCGGACCAGACAGACCCGGACCGGACTGGACAGGGCCATTTTTTTTTTTTTTTTTTTTGGGGTGGGGCGTAACTGGTTGTCGGGCGCACATTCGTGTGCCGCGCGGGTCCGGTCCGGCGGTCTGCCGCACGTGCGGAACGGCCCGGACGGCGTCCGCTTGCAAGAATGGTTTTACCTTTTTGCGCCTGGGAAACGTTCCCACCGCCACTAGTGAGTCTCCCACTCCCGCTAATGGCGGGGTTTTACATGCCCGGCTGCAGTCTCATTCCTTCATCATGTTGATTCCCCAGATTCTGCCGTTAGTACGTGAGTGCTGAAGATATAAGCAGGATTTCCCAGGATGACCACTGGTTGAGCGTAGAACAATCCCCACGCCTCTCAAGGCTTGGGTGACCCTGCATCACGGTTTCCTATGCTTGAATAGCTACCACTTTCAGAAATTAAGCTTCGATGTGTCCCGGCGAACGTTCGGGACCGAAGAACGAGCGCCGAAACTCTCTCCGAACGCGAACATAAAAAAAAAAAAAAAAAAAAAAAAAAAAAAAAAAAAAAAAAAAAAAAAAAAAAAAAAAAAAAAAAAAAAAAAAAAAAACCTTCTCCAAAAAATCTGAAAAACATACATGTTATGTAAAACCATACTACGAACAACTTTTGCCTTGGAGGTATGGTCAAATTCGTAACCAAACTCGAGTTAAGAATAAAAAACCAAAAAAAAATGGTTTTTTTTTTTTTTTTTTTTTAGTATGTGTTCGGGTGGCGTTCGGCCGAACACCCGAACATGTTAGGATGTTCGGAAAAGCTCCGAACATGTTCGGTGTGCTACACAGTGTCCCGGTAGACAGAATGGCAAGCCCTTCCTAATGAAGAAACACACAAGTACCCAGTCTCAATTACCTAGAACAGCACTCTGCAAAA